ATATACATATATACATATACATATACATACATACATATATATATATATATATATATATATATATATATATATATATATATATATATATATATTCTAAACAATGTTTCTAAACACTCTAAAAGAGCACATGTCATTATTTCAGCTTCCTGCCAGCTCTCTTGGCCACGCCCACTTCGCTGCAGAGCGGAGCTATGACACGTTGCAGGAGGAAGCTTCTCCTGCAGTGTGGGCTGCACACAGGTGCAGCAGGTGCTAAATAATTTCAAATAATTGATTTTAAATAAAAAAATCCATGCCAATCGTGCGGCTCATCCATCAATCAGCCAGTTGTGTGTCATGTCCAATCTTATTTTGAAAAATCGCGATAGAGCGTGTCCGTGAAAAACGAACAGCGAAGTATTAAAGGACTACTATAGAAGAGTCCGGGCGCTGCCTGAAGTCAAGACCCCTTAGCAACAGAAAGCATTTGGTGCAACATGAAACAAAAAATCCAGCAGAGAAGACCCAGGACTGCTGAGCAGCTAGAATCCGCCATCAGACCTGGATGGGACAACATTCCCTCCAAACCCCCAGCAGCTGGTCTCCTCAGCTTTGAGAAGTTTAACATATTGTTAAAAAAAAAGAGAGGACGTTTCACAGATGTAACTGTGGCCATGTCCCAACTTTTTAACATGTGCTGCTGCCATTAAATTCAAATTTACTTTACCTTTTCAAGTGACTATTTGCAATAAAATAAATCTTACCCTTTTCGACATTACAGCACAAGGAAAAGAACAGCATGATGGTGACAGAACTGATGAAATAGTTGTATTTTCATTTGATTAAAACAATTAAAACTCTATGAGATTTTACAGCTGGATGGATAAAAAATAGCTTCTTTGTCACACTTGTTGATGAAATGAAACACCAGCGTGAATAAAGTTAATGATAAAAGCTACAGACATCCAAACCAAACAATTTTAGTGGATTGGTGGTTTATTTTACTGATTTTAATATTTTTTTCTGAATTCTTATTTTATAGTTTGTTTATTTGTTTACTTTACAATAACTTATCTTGAGCAATACCTGCTGTTGTAACGATGTGAATTCCATGGCTGAGGGACCAGAAAAGGTCTATTCTATTGTAATTTATTCTACTCCATTCTATCCTGATGAGGAATAAAAGACAAAAAGTTCACTTATAAAATAAAATACAGATAATCTCTTTAAACGTGTCCCTCTGGTCTGGTTTCTTACTTTTCATACGTAGCTGTGACGAAGAATGCGTAGACTCCGGTGTGCTTATGATGTCGGATCTGAATGATGAGCTCTGGGATTCCCAGCCGGATGTGGTTCAGTAACCATAGTAACGTGTGGTCATCCGTTGTGTCTGTTACGATAAAAGGAAATATAAAAACCTTGTTTCTTCCCAACATTAAATATCAGTGCATGCAGGATCAGCAGGGTGCTCCCACAGCCAATAACTGTTTACTCCTAAACAGCAGCTGTAGGTTTGGAATAACGTTTTCTTTATTTGTCCACTTTTGCTGCAAATAACAACAAGCATAAAATCAGATGGCTTTAATCTGAGCATTTTATTTTTTCAGCAGAAACTGAATCTTTTTGTTGCAGGTCAGTGTTTATATCTAACCCCAGAATATTCACTGAATGTCACTCTCACTTTTCTGTTTCCACTGGACTGCACACATCAACAAAAGACAACAAAACATTGATTTTTTAAAAATGTGACATCTCTGTTTGGCTCACTTTATAGAACGGCAGGCTACTCTCTGCTCTTATATCAGAACTATTGTTTCAGATTGATATAACGATCAAATTAAAGAACACGAGTTAGACACAGCCTTCCTGCAGCTGTTTTTGATTGTTCAGGTTTTACACAGAACAATTCCCGATTTCATGACATCTGTTGGTGTCTTTGTCTGCCTGACCTGCAAATGTCATGAGGACATCACAGTTCTCCGTGGGCACCGTTTTCATCCAAGACTTATGAGACATGAAGTGTCTCCCAGCCTGCAGCAGACGCTTTCCAAACAGCTTATCTGAAAGACAGAGACGAAGAGGCAGAGGGAAAAACAAGGACAGAGTCACTTTCCCAGAGACAACCAGTGTGAGGAGCGATGACATTTCTCCCATTGTTGTCAAACCTGTTTAAAAACTCTTGCACGTGCTGTTTCAGCACACACAGAAACCACTAATAAAGCTGTCCTTCTCAACAGGACATGATGATCTTCTGCGTCACAGCACAAGAGGGACAAAAATGTGTCTGACCTGCAAAATCTATAAGCTGCAAATTGTCTACATTGGGTTTTTTTTTTTTTTTTTTTTTTTTAAAGTCTAAAGGATTTAGCAATCAAAAAGCAGCAAATTGTTATGTCTATTCTTACACAACCCAAATTGCAAAAACAAAGAATGAAATGATTTGCAATAAATCCAACATAACCCATATACTATTTATTATGGAATACAGTAAACCATCTTGGTGGCCATCTTGGATTTTGACATGGCAACCCACTTTTCAAAAGGGGCCTTTTTTATGCCTAGATGTAGCCATACACCAAAATGGAAATACCTAATTTATTTTTCAAGTTATGCTCACAACATGCACAGACAGATGAACGGATGAAAGAAATTCCCTCCAATTCCCTCTCTTCGCCCCACGAAAGGGGACAAAAATAGACATTTCAGACTGTTATCAGCACACAACTCAAACCCCTGCCTCTCTGATGGCATGGGGGTGCATTAGTGCCTACACCATGGGGAGCTTACACATCTGAAAAGGCACCATTGATGCTAAAAAGTAGGGATGCACGATATTATCGGCATGGTATCAGTATCGTCCGATATTAGCGATAAAGTTCAATATCGGCCATTCCACCAAAATAACTCACCGATATAAATAAAAAGGCGCAGTTTTTGTATGACAACCCAGTGACAAAGATGCCTGCAGCACCAGCGCGTTACGACGTCACACGCGCTGTTGAGTTTAGATTTGTGAAAATTTACAAATTTGCACTGTTCGAGTGTTATCGTGTTAGAGTAAATATCATGAATACAATTGACATTAAACATAATCCAAGTTGAAGTGTTAGGTAGCAGGCCAAATTGACAAAGACCATGCAGAATAATGTAGTATTTTAATTCCACAGCAGAGAAAGCTCTGTATTCTCTGTAAGTAGGTCAAGGGAAAAACAAATCGGTATTGGTATCGGTTATCAGTTATCGGCCAAATAGGTTTTAACATATTGGCATATCGGATATTGGCCAAAAAAATCCAATATCGTGCATCCGTACTCAAAAATATAAACAGGATTTAGAACAACATATGCTTCCATCCAACAAAGATGACCCAGGGTTTTTGAACAGCTAGAACCCTACTTCAGACCAGAATGAGACATTTCATCCAACCCCCCCGCAAGCTGATGTTAAAAAGAGGGGATGCTTCACAGAGGTGACACTGTTGCAATGTTTTTAAGTGTTTTGTTGCTTTTGAATTCAAAATTACTTTAGTTTTCTTTAAAATTGTACCATTTCTTAGTCTAAACCTTTAACATGTTCCATTGTGAATAATTTGCAACTCATTGTGGCCTGTTTTTATTTACACTTTACTAACGTCTCAACTTTTTAGAATTGGGATTGTACACGTCCACATATTTGCACGATAAGTTAATAATCTTTAAAGTTTGAAGCGGAGTAAGTAATTTAAGTAAAACTATTCAGTAGACACAGTATTTTCTCAGGGTTTGAATACGACCATGCCAGGGAGAACAATGCTGTTCAAGGTTTGTCTTCATTCTGACCCTTCCTTTATTGATCCCTGATCCTGGAGAGCTCAGATTCATCAGTTCAAACAGTTTAAACGTTATGTAACCTGGAACCAGACCACTCTCAGCTGGGGGAGGCCAGTTTGTGAAAACCGTTTCCCGCCCGCTGAATAATGACGACGAAGCCTGGAGAGAATTTCCATCCCTCAACAGCTCCGTAATCACTGAGACGAAGGCTGTCAGATGGGCCCACGGGGGGGCAGCTTTCCAAAGATCCCACACAGGCATGTTCAGTATCGCCAGCAACCGTCGTATCACATTTAACTATCTGAGCTGCAGAAGTGAGTCCAGACTAAACAGAGAATCAAATATGAATGCAAATATGCCCAGAGCTATAAATATGACCATGACATCATTAGTATAACAGACACTGTAACTCCCACAATGCATCAGGGCAGACCCAAAAAACACCTGTCACATAAAAGGACCTTTGTGCTCAGTGTCCACTTCCTGGAAATATGGGGCTTCAGAAGGGAAACTGAAGGCAGCAGACTTTTCTGAGAAAATTAATTGTGTATGCAAAAGCATCAACAAGCAAAAAATAAATAAATACTAGACTGAACAAATCCACACTTCCTCTGCTACTGAACTTTGGTTTGTTTCTGGAAAATTAAGCCTGCTGATTTAATCCCAGCTTTATCCTTTATGGATCACGGAAAATTGTAATGAGACAAAGTTAGCAACTGTATTTTGATGGATAGGAATAGTTAAAGACTTATTAAAGGGTTTATCAAAAGAGCTGAACAGCAAAGGAAGTACAGATCTGAAACACAACAGAAAAATAAAGCTGATCTAAGCTTAGATAAGAGGTAGACTAAATATTTCGAACTCCTCAAATCTATTTGTTATCTGATGGCACTGATGTTGTGATAAAGTTGCTTCGGTTACTGAAATAGCAGCTCAATAAAGCTTTAAATCTAGTCTCAAAACCTGTATATACTACATTTTCTACTGTATTTGATTAATCAATTTCCATCATGTCAAGTCTCTAGATAAAACTGCAATCAAAGCAATCTCACACACTGAGGACATCAAGCAAGTAAAACATTTCAACCTGTAAATATTAATTCTGATCTATGAAATATATAAGATAACGTGATGATAGATTTTTTTTTTCTGTCATAACATCTGCAGGGAGTTTTACGTCCACATGGCATTATTACATTTTAAATTTATTTCCCGTACTTACTCAGAAATTGTAACACCTTCATCTTTTTTCACGCCGCCTCTCCCACCTGAAGAACATTTTCTGTACCGTCACAAAAACTCCAGACAGGACGCAGAGCGAAGGCTTTTTGACTGTTTAATCGTGAGTGCGACTCTGTTTAGAAACACGACGAGTCGCTCAGCTGTGCTTCAGATAAAATGCTGCAGGCCAGCGTTGCTGTGACATGACAGAAATTCTAATGAGTCCTGTATTCATCACCGAGGGGAACGCGCCCGCAAACACTCGCTTCAGGAGCAGCTAGAGGATTGGATTCAACAGTTCACAAAGCTTCAATTTGTGCAGGTCAGCAGTGAGCATCTGCTCAGAGCATTTATATTGTATACATTACATGATTTAACTTAACAATTTATACACCACAGATATATGGGGTGCTGTTTGTAAAGTTGCACAGTGAAAAATTAACATCAATATTTTGGTGTATTGAGCTTTTAAGAAGAAATATACACATATATATATATTTTCATCCATCTACCCATCCATCATCCATCTGTCCATCCTTCCATCCATCCATCCATCCATCCATCCACCATCCCACCTTCCATCCATCCATCCATCAATCTATCCCCCATCCATCTATCCATCCACCATCCATCCATTCATCCATCCATCATCCAGCCATCCATCCATTATCTTTACTCGCTTCTTCCTTTTTGGGTCACGTGGGTCACTGGTGCCCAACTCCAGCAGTCACTGTGTGAGAGGTGGGGTACACCCTGGACAAGTCCATCACAGGGCTGTGTTGGGAGGACTTTTTCTACCGCCTACTGGGGCGGCTGTGGCTGAGTGGTTAGTGCAGTCGTCCTCCAATGCAAAGAGTTGGGGGTTCGAACCCCACAGCAGTCACATGCCGAAGTGTCCTTGGGCAAGAAACTGAACCCCTTGCTGCTTCCGATGTGTGTGCCATCGGTGTGTGAATGTGATCTAAAGCACTGATTAGTCTCTTTAGAATGATTTGTTCAATTAGCTTTGCAGAGATCTAGTAGAGTGCTGTGTGAATGGGTAAATGAGGCACTGATTGTAGTGTAAAGCGCTTTGAGTATCTCAATAAGATAGAAAGGCGCTATATAAGTACAGTCCATTTACCATTTACCATTTACAGGCCTTCAAGCTCCAGGCTTCTGGTAAACAAGTACAAAGTTCGCACCTACCATTGCCTGTTCATGAGTAGAACTGTTCTAGTTAGAAACAACCAACCATTCACTCTCTCATTCACATCTAGGGACAATTTAGAGTTACCAATCAGTCTAACATGCATGTTTTTGGTCAGTGAGAGGAAACAGGAGTACCCGGAAAAAACCCAAACATGCACGGAGAGAACATGCAAACTCCACCCAGAAAGACCCCTGGCTGGGAGTTGATCCAGTAACCTTCTTGCTGAGAGGCAGCAGCTCGACCAGCTGCACCACCGTGCCGCCGAGCTGCTGAATCATGAGGTGTGTTCAATATTTCTTAAATTAGGTCAACTTTTTCTCAAATAAATGTATTAACCTTCACAGATGACCTGATGTAAACCTTAGAACTGATAAATGATGTGTTTTTCAATATGACTGCATTTTTCCACCTTTTTGTCTTGAATAGAAATGTTAAAACAATCTCACGTCTTTCTATTGGAGAAAGATGATTTCCAAAAAGCACCTTTGGTTCTGTAACAGAAAGCAGGTCGCTTCAAAGTGGCTTACACCCAAACCAGCAGTGATACAGATAAATCCTGAATTACTCAGGGCCTTCAAAGTGCGATGACTGTTGCAGGGCTAATGCTTATCAGTCTGCAGGCAGACAGGAAGGAGCAGCACAGGATGCCGGTCTGTGATCTGAGCCGCTCTCGCAACACATCTCTGTGTGGAGTGTGTGTCTGCATGGGCATCTATAAGTGTGTGTGTGTGAGCAAATTAATTGAGTGTGAGTGAAATTTCAAGAGAAGTGCAAAAATGAAAGTCATAAAAAAGGAAAGTTAAAGATACTTTTATTGTCTTTGGTGGCTGTTTGTGTG